CCACAAAATAAAAATTGTGAATAATTTCTGAGTTTGGTCATTAGAGGGGCTAGGGTATGGTGGTGCGGACCTTCAGCTATTGCTGCACTTTTAACAAGTTGTCATAAATTAATTTTCACACAATTACTTTTCAACCTCTCTTTAAGCAAAAAATAAACAATTTTGTTAGATATGAACTAAGATAATATGACATGGAAAATAGTATAAAAATTTGCAGACAACTTGTCTCCAGTCCACAAAGTGAACTAGATGGTGTTATTGGACTTGTGGGGTTCACTGCGGGTCCTGTTTCGATAATCTGAACCGTTCCATGTGTAGAGCTCGTTGAGTACTTCATTCCTATAAAAGATCAAGGTAATCGGATATCAACAGCTACTTGATCGGATCAGATTTTTATCAACAATTTATTTTTAAAATTATATTTATCGTTGATAGAAATATGACCCGATCAACTAGCTATCGATATCCGGTCAACATTATTTTTTACTAGAATAAAATATTCGATGAGTTCTACACATTAAACAGTTCAGATTATCAAAATGAAACTCGTGGTGACCTTTCACAAACCCAACAACACGCTCTAATCTGATCACAAACTAGAGAGAAGTCTAACCTAAAAAATTAAATGTGAATGCCTGAGAAATGAAAAAGCAAATGCGATTGCTTCCCATTTATTTAATTAATAAATAAATGTGTAAGTGGTATTAAAAATAAGAAATTACATTCCAGTAGTGGTTCTTTTACAAAGTAATTAAAGATTTATGAAAATTTTTATAATTTTAATTATTAATATTCATAAAAGTTACCACTTATGTGAAATTATTTTAAGAAAATTATACTAAGGACTCGTTTGGAAACAGACTATTTTAGTTAATTTTTTGCTAAAATATAAGGTAAAAAAAATAAGTATGTTTGGAGTGATTTTTTGACTTTTTACGAAAAGATGTGTAAAAAGTAGAGAGAAAAGGAAATCTTTAACTTTTTAGTATAAGTTATAGGTTTTTTAGCTTTTTTAGTAACTTTTTGACTTTTTGACTAAAATGTTAACTTGCCAAACGAGGCCTAAATTGTAATTTCTCCAATTAAAAAAAGACCTTTCCAAGGAAAAAAAATCAAAATAAAACAGAGAATGAAGAACAAAAACATAAATGAATTAAGGACAATGAGGACAATAGGGAAATTCTAGTACACACCCTCTACTATCTACTATATATATACCCTTAAGTTATATCGTTTTTCTATTTAGTTATGAACCTTATTTTAGTTATGATTCATGAGATCTTTAGTTATACCTTATGTGTTATTTGGTTATGACTTTTTATTTTTTTATTTTAATTATGACTTAGAAAATAAGAGAATTTTTTTAAAGGTCCTTGATATTAAGATTTTATAAGATAAAAGATATATAACATTTTCATAATAGTTAAAATCTCTCAATATTTTCACAAAAAAAAAAAATTGACTCAGAGAAATTTTGTTCGACTTAGAGAAATTTCTTCCCCAACACAGAGGAATTTCAATTTTCACTTTCGAAAGTTTTCTGATTTTCAGAAAAATTTCAAAATTTCTCTAATACGATCACAGAAAAATTTTATCTAGAGACATTAGCTAATAAAAAAAATATCTTGGACCTCTCCTATTACACAAATTTGGAGAGGGATGGTTCACTATTTTTTCCTAGAAAATATAAAGTTATGTCATTTTTTTTTTAGTTATAAAGTACACAAGGTATATACCATTTGAAGAGTGTGTATTATAATCTTTCTCCAAAGTATTAATGGCATATCTTTTTAATAAAAAAATGTAAAATGTTAAAAGACTTTTAGGTTGTGTTTGCTTTATTGGAATATGGTGGAATAGGATAATCATTCTATCAAAATGTTTATTCTTATATTTGATTGATTAAGAAAATAATAATAAATAAAAGAGCATTTAGTGTGTTTAGTTTCAGTTTTCTGAATTCAGTTTTTTAGAAATTGAATTTTTTGTTTTCATTTTTTTTTTGTTTTTAATGAATATTTTTAAAATTTTAAGCAATTTTGTACTTTTTTAGATGCACCTTACTTAGATGTATCTAAATAGTAAAATATTTGTGAAGAAATATTTTAAAAAAATTAATAAGTACACAAAAATACGAAAAATATATTGAATTTTTTTTTTTTGTATTTTTGGTATTTAGTGAATTTTTTAAATATTGTTTTTCAAAAATATTATACTTTTTAAGTGTATTTATATTACATGGGTCTAAAAAATTAAAAAAAAATGCTTAAAATCTTTAAAAAAATTTATTGAAAACAAAAAATAAAAAACAAAAAATAAAAAAGTAGAATTTTTTGAAAAGTGTTTTCTGAAAACCAAAACCATACAAGCTTATTGCCACTGCAAAAAAATAAATAAATAAATAAATAAATAAATAAAATAAGGTCTTGGAGACCAAAATTGGGGGACAAAATTATTTTTTAGGGACCAAATATTTTTATTGCGAAAAGTGTTGTTATTATATTTTTAGCAACAAAAATTAGACATTAATGATGAATTATTATCCTTTTGGGGCCAAATTTTTTGTCTCAAAAAATAAATAATTTTAAGATCAAATTATTTTGTCTCTAAAAGTCAATTTATTAGTGATATTTTTAATATTTTATCACTAAAAACCTTGTTTTTGACTTTTCGGGACGATTTTTTAGCGACTATCCTCATGACGATAGAAATTAGTCCATAAACATCGTTTGCAACAAAAATTTAACTTTTAGAAACCAAAACATTTGGTCTCCAAAACTCTTATGGCCCTGTTTGGTAGAGCTGTGGGAAAATGCTTATAGCTTATGCCTTAACAGCTTACAGCTTATAACTATGAACATAAGCTGATTTCTGACGTATAAATTAAGCATCTCCTGCCCCACTCAAAGAATAAGCTGATTTTTGACTTACAAAAAGCGATAAGCTACATTGTTAAACTAAACCAAACACATCAAAATAACTTAAATTAAGCTGAAAGCTGAAAGCTGAAATAAGCAACTTTTCAGCTGCACCAAACAGGCACTATATGTTGTAGTGTACCATTCAAGATAAAAATTAGATCCAATTTTCAAGCTTAGTGGTGTTGCAATCAATGAAAAATAATATACAGATTCACTTTTTAAACCCAATAATGTATCAGAAAAATGATTGGTTGAAATCATCTTTCTGACAGATCACTGGATTTAGAAAATAGATTTAATTTTTAGGCCTGGATAGCAATGCTCGCAATCAATTAGGATATTAAAGATAACACTCTCTCTCATATATCTTCTCTAATTATCGACCAATCATATATCATTTATACATCATTGAGTTTATAAAATAGATCTAAAAAGTAGACTTATATATTATTTTCCTTTTTCTAAATAAAATCATCATTCAACATTGTAATGAAATTATCACTCTATAAAAGATTACAAAGAGTTATCATTTTATTTTGTTCTATCTCATTTCAGTAAACTAAGACTAAAATATAGAGATTTTGTTTGAGAAGTTAACTATTTTAATTGACTATTTAATTTTTTTAATTATTTTAACTTAACTAAAATAATTATATTTATAAAATTGACTGATTTAATGAATGTAAAAAATAATAAAATAATTATAAATTAAATATTATATTTCGTCTCATTAACTATTTTAACTCAACTTTTCAGTCTCATGTAAGACTAGAATTAGCCTTCACTCTTAGGTGTCGTTTGGGAAGAGTTCATTTGGGCTTTTTTGGCTCTTTGAGCCACAAAAGACAAAATAGGCTATTTGAGCCACAACAGACAAAACATCACATCCAACCCATAATCATTACACTCTTCTCTCACAAAAAAAGTCAAAAAAGTCAAAATGCCAAAAAGCCCTTCCCAAACCAAGCTTTTGAGCCAAGGCTCAAATAGCCAAAAAAGCAAAAAAGTCAAAAAGCCAACCCACTTCCCAAACGGAGGCTTATGAGGTAACAGAAGTCAGAGAAAGTATGAGAGAAAAACAAAAGCAAAACAGGGGACAGATATGTATAATTTACATTGGCAGGGACCACGTGTAAGAAAACAGTGTAAACCCGTATGACCCGTTTGTTTTCAGAGGTAGAATGGAAGGAATTTATAGCAAGGAGATTAATAGTGAGGGGATTAAGTAAAATTGTGTTTGTTTTGATGATAGTTGTTAGTGTAGGAATTGTTAAATTATTTTTATATAAAATAATAAAACAAATAAAAAAATATAAAAAATTAAACATTAATATTTTAAAAAAATTCCCAATATATAAAAAATAAAAAAATAATAAAAATATTTCTAATCCCCTCACTATTTTTCTAATACCATCTCTACCTCCTCCTTCTCAATCCCCCTTCCAAGGCCTTTACTAATTCCAAGGGATTATGAGTCCCCTCCCCATCTCTCAAAACAAACACCCAATATAGTAGTTCCACCTCATTATCAAACCCAATCCCCTCCTTATAACCCCAAACAAAAACACATCCCTCTAAAATTAGAATTATAGTTGAACTCTAATGAGGTGAGAAATAGAAATAAAAATTTTAAAAAAAAAAGTCAAAACATCACATATAAATCTCATATACAATTAAAATTATTAAAACTCATAAATCAAAGCTGCAAAATATTTTTAAAACACCCATGCTAGTATAAAAAAAGAATACGAATCACCGATCGCCCTTTCCTGCGGCCCTCGCCAAAACGACGTCATTTTGGTTAATCATTTTTTTTTCAATTTTTTCCCAAAATTTGAGTTTCCCGCTTGTTTATCATCTTCCTCTACCCAGCTCTATGTTTTGTTTTGTTTAGCCCTAACGAAAACTGAGAGAGAGACGGTAAACGAAGAGAGAGAGAGAGAGAGAGAGAGAGAGAGCTGAGAGATGAGAGAGATGGTGGAGGGGCACGACGGTGAAGGCGACGGCATGGTGGAGGGGCGCGACGGCGAAGGATGAAGGATGGTGGAGGGAGGAGATGGCCATGGCGAAGGACGAAGAATGGCGGAGGGAGGCGACGCGATAGCGAGGCAAGATTGTGGCCATGACGAGGTAAAATAAGTGACATTAATCAGGATCATCATATCAGATTTTTGAAATTTTTTATAAATAACTCGCCCTTGTCTGAAATTTCTGAAATTAGGTTTTAAATGATTATTCATTGTTAATCTGTCTGTCTTTGTTCAATGTGTAGGTTAAGTTTTGTTTGTAGAAGTCAAAAAAGATTATAGAAAAATAGAAATGCCCAAGTGATGTTGTGTTCTGTTCAGAAAAATATAAATTATGGGTTTTTCATTTTTTTTTTCATTTTTTGTTGTTATGTTCTTCAATTTTTATGTGGCTTTCAGCTTAATGTATTGGGCTTTTTTACCCAGTGATGGTGCATTCCAACTTTGATTTAATATTTGTGTTATGTGTTTGTATGACTTGGGCAAAAGGTATATTCCACTACCGAACATGACAAAAGAGAACAATCAGAAAGAACATAGGTAGAGAATGGCTTCCAATACAATGATTTTGTGTTTCATCTTGCTTAAATTGGTCTTGGAAGTGTTTTTTGAATCATCTTGCTAAAAATCTCACCACTAAAAATACATACTTCTTTTGACTTGGGTAAAAGCTAGACATGGAAGATTGGAAAAGCTTTATCATGTGTATTACAGTACCAAACATTACAGAAGAGAACAATCAGAAAGGAAATAGGTAATAAGATAAATGGGTAGCCTTGGTTAGGCATTACAGAACCAATCTCCAAAAAAAAAAAAAAGGAAAAAAAAAGAAAAAGATAAGTAAAACAGAGCTGAAGCATATATATATATATATATAATTATTCATAGCATTCATCAGTTCCACTGGTATATTATATGTATAGGAAAATGTTATATAAATTACTTAGTAGTATTTGTGGGCACACTTCTAAAAAATCATATCCATCAATTTTTGGGAATTAGCTTATTTTATTATTTGTATGGTAATCAATTGTAGGTAATTGAAGAAAATAATGTTGTTGATGAGTTGGGTAGTTGTGGTTGGAAGCCGAAATTGGGCATGCCATTTGACTCTGCGTATGACTTTTACAATAACTATGGTGGAAAGGTGGGCTTTAGTATTAAGAAGTCGTATGCACACAAGAACAAACAAACAAAGGAAATAACTTCACGGACTTTTGTATGTTATAAAGACGGAAGTCGGGGTATTGACAAGCGAGATCCACTAGTAAAATTTCCGAGACAAGAGGTGAGATGTGGTTGTGGTGCCCGATTGAGTATCAAGTTAGATAGAAATTTAGGAAAATATGTTGCAATTGATTTCGTTGAGCATTATAATCATGACCTTGTGCGTGAAGAGTGCATTCATATGTTGCCATCCCGAAGAAAAATATCTACCACCCAAGTAATTGAAGTAGAATTGGCTTCAAAATCTGGAATTCCTCTTAGGTCTGCTTATGAGCTATTGGGTAGGGAATCTGGTGGAAGAGCATCACTTGGCTTCACCAAATTGGACCAAAAAAATTATTTGAGATCGAAGAGACAAAAAGATTTGGAATATGGAGAAGCGGGTAGTGTGTTGCAATACTTTTGTAAGAAAACTGTGGAAAATCCATCCTTTTATTATGCGGTCCAATTAGATTATGAAGAGCAGATAACTAACATGTTTTGGGCCGATGCTCAAATGATAATGGACTATGCTCAATTTGGTGATGTAGTGACCTTTGACACTACTTACAAATTAAATAACAAGCATAGACCTTTTGGGACCTTTGTTGGATTTAATCATCATCGAGAAACAGTTATATTCAGTGCAGCCTTGATGTATGATGAGACTGCCGAATCATTCACATGGTTCTTTCATATTTTTTTGGAGGCAATGTCAAACAAAGCTCCAAAAACTATTTTCACATATCAAGATGCTGTGATGGCTAAGGCCATTCCAATTGTCATGCCTAATACAAACCATCGACTTTGCACATGGCATTTGATGCAAAATGCTGTGAAGCATGTAAGTTCTCTTTTTGGAGATGTAGGGGTGAAGGGTGTGTTTTCAAAATTTATGCATGAAATTGATGATGAAGAAGAATTTAGAATACCATGGGACCAAATGCTTGATAGGTACGATCCACACAACAATCATTGGTTGAAGCAAACTTTTGGTGTGAAGGACAAATGGGGATGGCCATATATTATGAATTCTTGGGCTGCTGGAATGAGTACTACTCAACTAAGTGAATCATTCAATGCATGTTTGAAGGATTATATCAATTGTGATCATAACTTGATGGAATTTTTCACGCATTTCGAGAGGGTGCTCTATGACAAGAGGTATAAAGAATTGGAAGCCGAATATAATTTGTCCCAAAAATTGCCAAAGGTTTTCATTCCAACTTTGATGTTAAAGAAAATGGTAGATATTTACACGAAAACAATTTTTGAGGAATTCCAAAATGAGTATGTGCAATCCATTGAAGCATCTATTGTAGGCACTCGTAATGATGGTGAGAGTACCATATTCACAATTCGAACGATGGTAGATGGGAAAAAAGATAAGAATGTGATAATGGATACACATGGTTCTTTGAGTTGTAGTTGCAAGAAGTTTGAAGTCAAGGGCATAGTGTGTCGACATTATTTGAAGGTGCTTAGAGATATATTTAATGCAAAGGACCTTCCTGCACAATACATATTGAAACGATGGACTAAAAAAGCAAGGGTTGAAAGTGTAAAAGACAATCGGGGGTATGACGTCAAGGCCGATGTGAAACTAAATCAAAGCGATCGATATAGGTCATTGATGAATATGTTTAGAGCGATAGCAAGTAGAGCCTCTGAAAGTGAAGAAACTTATCATTTGTCACTTGCAAAAGGTGAACAATTGAGTGTAATGGTTGAAGACAAATTAAGTGTGCACACTTGTGGTCAAGTGGAGGTCACTGCATTGAGAAATTCCTCAACTAACACATGCCCACAGAGTGATGAAGTAGATTGTCCAATCTAGGCCAAGGGACTGAAGAAAAGACAAGCAACTAGTACGGGAAGAAGGAGGATCAAGGGCGGGATAGAAAAATCTATTGCAAAGAAGAAAAGAATGCAATCTAACCGGGTAATTAATTTTGTTATGTGTTATGTGATATGTGTTATCAATTTTGTGTTATGTGTGTTTGGGAAATAATGAATTAGATAAATTGGTTGTTTGCAGGGTGATGGTTTTTGTACTCCTGAAGGTCAATTTGAGCCTCCTGTCGCCATGGGTAATATTTCTAGTCAGGTAATATTTACAATTGTGTGCAACTTTGTATCAATCTTGTTGGATTGGTTATTCTTGCAACTAGCGGCGTGAAATTTATTATTTGGGGTCTTTTGTGATACATGTAGGGTGGTTCTTTTTCTACTTCTCAAGGTCAATCTCAACCTTTTTTTATCATTGGGTAATCATTCAATACAGGTAATATTTAATTTTCTATGAAACCTTTGACATGCATAGACCTTAGGGAAATTGAACCTCATATGGAAATTGAACCTCACGTGAATTTTTTATGTTGGTTTACTTTAGGGTGTTTACACTACACAAGGTCAAGCTTGACCTCCTTTTGCCATGGTTAGTAATTATGTTGAGGTAATATATCATATTGTTTGATTTTTAAAATGAAAATGCATTACTAATTTATTTTCATGAAACTTATTCTTTTCTTTATGTTGGTTTACTTTAGGGTGTTTACACTGCACAAGGTCAATCTCGACCTCCTTTTGCCATGGATAGTAATTATGTTGAGGTAATATATCGTATTGTTGGTTTTTTAAAATAAAAATGCATAATTAAATTTTTTTCATGAAACTTATTCTTTTCTTTATGTTGGTTTACTTTAGGGTGTTTACACTGCACAAGGTCAATCTCGACCTGCTTTTGCCATGGGTAGTAATTATGTTGAGGTAATATATCGTATTGTTGGTTTTTTAAAATGAAAATGCATTATTAAATTTTTTTCATGAAACTTATTCTTTTCTTTATGTTGGTTTACTTTAGGGTCATGGTCGTGCAATCTATATTTCTCAATCCCAATCCCAATCTGAACCTGAATCCCAATCTCAATGTTGGTTTACTTTAGGGTGTTTACACTACACAAGGTCAAGCTTGACCTCCTTTTGCCATGGTTAGTAATTATGTTGAGGTAATATATCGTATTGTTGGTTTTTTAAAATGAAAATGCATTATTAAATTTTTTTCATGAAACTTATTCTTTTCTTTATGTTAGTTTACTTTAGGGTCATGGTCGTGCAATCTATATTTCTCAATCCCAATCCCAATCTCGACCTGAATCACAATCTCAACCTCCCTTTGCCATGGGTCGTTCAAGTGTTCATGATGTCATGTATCCTACATATGATGTGAGTTGTAATTGCTTACATACTTTACATTGAAATGGTAGTATAGATTCTATAAATATTTTAATAAATGTACCACTATTGCAGGGAAATAGAACGCCTCAGTTAATGCCACCTCATTCAATGCCTTTAGTGTATCCCACTCACACATCGTTTCAGGAGTTGCTTCGAGGTACTACTGTCCAACTGTCGCAAGCCTCACATAGTCCTGCTGATAATCATGTGGATGGACATCCTTGGAAGCCTTGCACCGAACGATGATGTTATTATATTTGTGGATTTTGGTGTATTTTTTTATGTTTGGTGGGATTTGGATATTTTTTATGGACATTTTCTGTTTGTATTTAATGTTGAGGTGGAATTTTGAATTTTTCATGGACATCTTTTGTATGTATTTTGAATGTTTGGGAACAATGTTCTTTTGTTCATGTGTATGCATATATAAAGTTCTTATTATTTTCGTCTAGAATGCTTTTATTGTGAGGATCACATTAATGTTTGTTTTAGTCAATATTTTCTACTGGTTGGTGATTAGGGAACTTGGACAGGTTAAATTGCTTGTGGTGCATTATCAATTCAACTGGCCATGGTTAATGTTTGTTTTAGTCAATATTTTGATGTGGTTGGTGATTAGGGAATTTGTTTGTTTAAATTCCTTGTGGTGCATTATCAATTCAAGTGGCACAGGTTCATGTTTCTTTTAGTCAATATTTTGTAGTGGTTGGTGATTAGGGAAGCTGGACAGGTTAAATTTCGTGTGGCATAGGTTCAATTCAAGTGGCACAGGTTCAATTCCTTGTTGTTTGTACAAGCAGGCTTTGCCTTCATTTCCTGTTCTTTTGCTTGTCTGAACTTGTTACTGTTTCACAGCATGGACAAATGTTTAGGAGTTGAAGAAGCTAGGCATTTTATGATTTCACATGCTAAAACCCATGGGAAGAATTGAATGTTAAAGCATCATATACATCATATTCACTTTGTGTTCACATAACATCATATTCACTTTCTTTTCATAGCATCAATCTTCATACATCATATACATAACATCCAATTTAATTAATTAACACAATTGACATAGCATAGCAACTTCATTAATTAAACATTGTTTGGATTTTACATGCACATATAAAAGTTTCAAAACTAAATACAAGTTCTACAAGTAGTGGTTTACACTCGGTACAAATACAAGTTCGCTTGAGCAGCATCACTAGCATGATAAAACCAAGCATCACTATGGTTGTCAACATCATGAATTTGATAGCTTCAAGTCGTTCTCGTTGGTTTGCATCAAGTCGTTCCAAGATATTCACAACTTCATTGTTTCTCGCAAAATCATAATCATCCCCGCTCTTTTGGATATTTGATCCATTCCTAGTAGGAGGCACTCCCCACGCAAAGTAGTCACAAGCCTTATTTGCACACTTGAAATAAAACTTCCCTGGATTTTTCTATGATTCTGATATGTACACTCCTGTTTTTTTCCCACATTTGCATCTTTTATTTTGAAAGAATCCAGCATCATTGTTTGAACTCGTTGACATGTCAATCCTAATTACAAGTAGACACAAAAGTCAATTTCAAATGCAACACAGATCTAACCACAGTTGAAGTTAAGAGATGTAGGTAACAAGCATAAGATCATATTACTTCATATTATCAGCCATCAGTTTTCATCGACATCAGTTTTCAGCAAGTTCGGAGATTAATCAACTTGAAGAATTAGAGAAAAGAATGGCATGAACATCATGCAAAAGTGATAATGTGCCCGGTGAAAATGTGTTGCAGTTGGTCATTAAAAAGATGAATATGAGTTATAGTTTCTGTATATACTTAACAAAATGCACTACTTCCAGATAAGGTCTATAAATAGAGTCTTAAGTTGAGTATCTCAGGCATCAAGACAAGTTCCAAAAACTACACTTGGTACTTGAGAAATCGAGTCTTGTAATCAAAGTTTGAAGAAGTTTCCGCTGTAATAAATTTCTGTAAGTTTCTATCTAGTTCTTTGTCTTACTAGTAGATCCTGTAGGTTTCTGTATATACTTAACAAAATGCACTACTTCCATTCCTTCAACTAGTGTTGTAGGCCTCACAGATCTATTACCCACTATTTGCATGCAATCACTAAAGTCACAATATCTTTTTTTTTCCTTTTTATATATTTATTTCATGGTTTTTAATTCCCCATTAATGATAGATAATCTTTGGGCTGGAAGAGGCAAAAGAGTACCAACTACCGTGTTCTGTCTCCCATGGTGGATTGAGTTATCAACATCAGTTCTCTCTCACATGGCAAAAGAGTACCAACTGCCATAATCTTTAGACTAGATCAATATCAACATCAGTTTTCACAAGCATAATTCTCTTCACAAAGGTTTTAACATTGTTTACCAAAAATAAAAAATCTGTGCAACTTAATCATGTTATATCACATTCATGGTTCCTTTCTAAAAAATAAACTGCTAACAATATACACCATGGTTCCTTTCTATCTCAATCATGTTATATCACATTCCTGAGCTTTGATCACAATCAGTGACTAACAAGGCACACTTCATTTTGCAGGACTAAAAAATATATATAATTATGTGTTGATCAACATTCCTAAGATTTGGCTTATATCACATTCCTGAGCTTTGATCACAATCAGTGACTAACAAGACATACTTCATTTTGCAGGACTAAAAAATGGACTAAAAAATATATATAATTATGTGTTAATCAACATTCCTAAGATTTGGCTTATATCACATTCCTGAGCTTTGACCACAATCAGTGACTAACAAGACACACTTCATTTTGTAGGACTAAAAAATGGACTAAAAAATTTGGCTGTTATGTGTTGATCAGCATTCCTAAGATTTGGCTTATATCACATTCCTGAGCTTTGATCACAATCAGTGACTAACAAGACACTTCATTTTGCAAGACTAAAAAATGGACTAAAAAATTTGGCCGTTATGTGTTGATCAACATTCCTAAATAAAATAAAAATGGACTAAAAAATGGATCAACACACTTCATTTTGACTAAAAAAACGTTGATCAACACACTTCATTTTGCAGGACTAAAAAATGGACTAAAAAATCAACACATAACAAGACACACAAAAATCAACACATAACAGCCAAATCAACACAAATTCACAAAAATCAACACATCACAAAAATTCACAAAAACCAGTGTAGATCTCATTGTACGAAAGTTGAATCAAACCAATTAATCATAGAAGTAGGGAAGAGAGAGAGAGATGGAATGAACCTCATCGGACCTTTTGTGTGTTCGTCCGTCGCCTCTTTCGCCCTCGCGTTTGTCGCCTTTCCCGTTCGATCTTCGTCCCCTCTCCCGTTCGATCTGTCCAGCTCTGTTCGTCTCTAGCTCTGTTCGTCTCTATCTATCAGAGGGGCTAGGGCACAATGAAAAGGGGTTGGAAAATAAGAGGTGAAAATATATATATATATATATATATATATATCAAAACGACGTCGTTTTGATGTGTCGTAGGGACGGCTGCAGGAAAGGGCGATCAAAGATCCGAATTCATAAAAAAAAAAGGCAAAACAAGAAACAGACACGTGTAATTTACATTGGGAGGGGGCAGATGTACCGTAAAGAAATAGTGTAAACACAGCGTACTTTTTTTTGGGAATTAAAATATAGCACTTTAAAAAGAGTCCGGATCCTCTCCAGCCACTCTCTTCGGCTGTTCCTCCGGGTGACGGCTCAGATAGAGCCACGTCACCCTGCAAGAAATGCATGGTTTAGATTTCTTTCTTTAAACAAAAAAATTTCAAAACATACCCACACTGAATCATTCCCTTTTTTTCTGACCCTTCTCTCTGTCCCTTACTGCACGCACAAGCTCTCTCTCTCTCTCTCTCTCTCTCTCTCTTCTAACAAAAAATTAAAAAAAGTATTTTAATCTTTTTCATTTTATTTTCATAATATATATATAAGGGTAAATTATATTGACACCCTCTGAAGTTTATGTTTATTACAGTTACCCCCCTCACCTTTTGGAAATTACATTCCCCTCATTGAGATTTAAAGTTTCATTACAGATTACCCCATGAGGTTTAAAATTTCATAATAGTTCCCCCCCTCACCGTAATGATCATCATATATAAAATTAAATTAACAGGGGGGTCAGTGTAATTTCCCAAATGTAAGGGAAGGAATTGTAATAAATATAAACCTCAGGGGGTGTCAGCGTAATTTACCCTATATATAATTTTTAATATAAAATTTTAATTTTATAACATTAATATCATTGAAAATATACCTTTAAAATGAGATTAATATTAAATATATTTAATAAAAATTTAAAATGCATATAAAAATAATGACTTTTAATTTAATTTTATTAACCAAACGGGTTTATAATTTTTTTTTAAAGGAAATAAAAAAAAATTATATTTGATTTACACCTATGCACAGATTGAATTTGTGTTTTAAAGAAAATAAAAAATTTACATCTATGCACAAAAGTCATTATTTTTATATATTTTTTTTGCAATGAAGATTATTTTTTTATTAAATATATTTAATATTAGTCTTATTTTAAAAGTATATTTTCAATGATATTAATTTTATAAAAAATAAAATTTTATATTAAAAATTATATATATATATATATATTATGAAAATAAAATGAAAAAGATTAAAATAATTTTTTATTTTTATTAGAAATGTGATAGAGAGGAAGTATGTGTGATTTTAATTTTTTTTTGTTAGAAATGTGATATATATATATATATATATAGAGAGAGAGAGAGAGAGAGAGAGAGAGAGAGAGAGTGAGTGAGTGAGTGAGTGAGTGTGTCAGTGAGAAAGGGACGGAGAGAGAGAGTGTGTGGAGTGAGTGTGTGCTGTGAGTATATGTGTCAATGGGTGTGTATTTTATTTATTTTAAAAAAAAATAAATTTGTGCCGTTTATTTATTTATAGGTGACGTGGCTCAATTTGAGCTGTCATCCGGAAGAACTGACGGAGATTCAAGCTGAAGAGGATCGGACTCTTTAAAAAATTAAATTATTTGCTTACAAATTTGTTCTTTAACATTTTAATATCAGTTGATTGCAAGTTACAAAAACAGATACATAAAACAAGTGAAAGCCTAATCCCATTTTGCTTCCCACTACTTACGCAAGGCATTTTGTAAACTTTAACTTGGATTCCGGCCTTGTATGCAAATAGTGTTTTGTGTAGTATATAATATTCCTATGAAACAGTAATTAAATGTGTAATAAAAATTTTATATT